TACCCCATCTCGACTTGACCATCAAGCTGACCAGAACATCAGACTCTTTTGCACTGATGTCGACTGCACAAAACGAAAAGATTGTCATTCGCGATGCGACCCCCTTCGTTCGCAAGGTGACCTTGTCACCCAGCATGAACATTGCGCACGCTGAAGCACTGGAGCACGCCCCCGCACGCTACCCCTTCACCAGAACTTCCGTCAAGTCCATCACCATTCCGAGCGGCTTCCGGGACAAAACCATCCCAAACGTGCATCTCGGACAAGTGCCGAAGCGCATCGTTGTCGGATTCGTCTCCAACGTCGCCTACAACGGCAGCTACCGCCATAACCCGTTCAACTTCCAACACTTCAACATCAACTACCTGTGCCTCTACGTCGACGCCGAACAGGTCCCCGCCGTCCCCCTGACCCCCGACTTCACCCACGGAAACTACGCGCGCTCTTACTACTCGCTGTTCGAGGGAACCGGAATCAAGTGGAAGGACGAGGGAAACGATATAAATTACGACGAGTACGGCAACGGTTACACACTCTTTGCGTTCGATCTGACACCCGATCAGTCTGCCCACAAACCGCACTGGAACGTGCAGCGCCAAGGCACCGTCAGGCTGGACGTGCGCTTCAAAGTCGAACTCCCCGTCGCAGTCAACTGCATCGTTTACTCAGAGTTTGACAACCTCATCGAAATCGACAAAAACAGGAAAGTGATCGTGGACTACAACGTGTGAGCGATATGGACGGAAACGAGCTAGAACGTTTTATGCGCCACGACCCGCACGCCGCGCAGCATTTCATTGGAGTGTTTGCAACCGACACGCTCCCCCATAGGATCACAAAGAAACCCGCTTTTCTCATTGTAAACTCTGACACCATTTCCAAACCGGGCACGCACTGGCTGGCCATGAGTATCGATGCGTGTGGAAAAGGACAATTCTTTGACAGTTATGGTCAAAGGCCCAACGTGCCACTGCACGAAAGATTCCTCTCTCGCGTTTGTAAATCTTGGACATATAATCATGTAGACCTGCAGGCGCTCGACTCGTCCGTGTGCGGACGCGGACAATATTGTTGCATGTATCTACTCTTCAAGGCGCACGGTTTCACCATGACCGATTTTGTGAAGCGCTTTTCAAACGACTGCACGCAAAACGATGTACGCGTCGAAAAAATGTACCAACGCTACTCTAGAAACGTCAAACTATGTGACGATGTCAATGTTAAAACAATTGTACAAAAATGCTGCAAGCGATGCAAGAAATAAACATTTCATCAAATTATTAAATTTGTAGTTTTTCTTTTTTAAACCTACAAGAGCTAACGACAAATAACCCCACACGTCCAGACACCCTGCAGAAGCAATGCCGTCATTCATTCATTGATTGCGGAAATATGTGTGCCCGCACCGAGCAGCACCAGCAGGGCCAAGCAAGGAGGCGAGCGCACCGCAGGGGATGCCCCGCCACGCCACCACAGCGTCCCCACCAGGGCAGAAAAGCAAAAAGAAAAAAAAAACAGAAAAAAAACAGAAAAAAACTGGGTCGATCTTATATTATTTAACGGTTCATTATAATTATATGACAATCCACATCCATCACAAGCACTGCATTGACTCATTTCATTCATTCATTGAATTTAAACTTTGCGCTCATTTCAAATTTTCGCGCCACCGCCCGAGCCGCGCCGAGCAGCGCCAGCCGCCCGAGCCGCACCGAGCAGCTCCAGCCGGGCGAAGCAAGGGGGGCGAGAGCGCGCCAGGTGCCCGAGCCGAGCGCAGGCGGGACCGGCAGCCCCACCCGAACGAGACCGAGGGGCCATGCTGGCCGTGACGAGCAGCGCCGTCCCCCGCTCCGACAGCGCCATAACACTCCGTCCCGACTCGATCCCTTCAGCGCCGAACCGGCAGTCTAGGGGATAAGGGACCCGACTCCCAACCCAGAGGCCAGAGGTTCGAATCCACCCAGCAGCGGGACTTTTTGGTGTCTATACCCCGTTCCACAAGACGAGACCCAGGGGACCGGGACCCAGAGCCCTCTCCCCTCCCACTCTACCCCACCGGGACCAGGGACCCGGACCAGGGGCCCTATATACTACTCCTGTAGCCAGGAAGAAATATGAAGATGAATATATGAAAGTGAAAGAACCTGGTGCCAAGATGTGGCAAACAGGATCCTGGGTGAGTCCTGCGTATCCAATGCTAATTTCTAGCCCTGATGGAATTATACAGGGTACTGATGAGATGAAATTATTTGAAACCAAATACTGCTCGATACTGCAAGGTGCTGACCCTGTTGACTTTAAGAATGTTTTAACCAAGAAGCAGCAAGGCAATTTTTATTTACATTTTGTAGATGGCAAACTTGCTCTCAAGCAAAGCCATCCATATAACTACCAAGTACAAATGCCCATGGACATCCTACAGATGGACTCCTGTGAGTTTGCTGTGTTAACAGGTGATAAGGATAATGGATGGAAAATGGCTGTAGTAAATGTCACCTATGACGAAGCCTTTTGGAGGGAGAAAAGGGAGAGAATAATAAAGACGTATAGAGAATTGGTAGTGCCTGAACACTTCCTAACCAGAACTGTGAGGAATTTACCCCCAAGACTGAATTCCATGAACACCATGAGGACCCATATTTCCTCCAAGGTTGGCACCAAACAAATGATTACTACCTGTTAAGAATGGAGGAAAGTAATTACTTTGGCAAGTGGCAAGTGGCAAGAACAAAGAAACGTGTAAGGCGTTATACTTTTCGGAGTTACATCCAAACCACAGCGGTCCAACCACACTCCAGCCAAAAGAGCACATTTAGGAAAGTTTCGGAACTTGCATTTTTCCACATTTCGGTGGTGTGCCAGCCTAGCCTAGGCTGCTACCAAGTGATGGAATGAGAATGAATGCTATTCTGTATTGGGCTCTGAGAAGAAGAGCAAAGTTACCCAGTGGCTTTATCATACTATTGTGAGTAATACAAATCTTCTCACCCAGTCATTTCCCGTGCTGTTGCTCGGGTTATTGAATACAGAACTAGGTAATTCTTTAGTAGTCATTTAAGTGGTAGGCCTCCCCCGTATTATCAGTCATACGGTCTGAGCAATACTATTGAACAGTTAAGTTGCAGCATTATCACTCAGGATTTATTTTTAATAAATGCTATCTTAATCACTTTATACTTTTAATACAGTATTGAAACTTGGCCTTAACTCGTACAAGTGTAACATATAATTCCGTAGGGTCCTTGGTTTAAAACGAAGGTTCTTTGGGGAAAAAAACACGCAGATATTGTGGGAAGTTACGAATAACTGTTGGGATTTTCGTTCCCAGGAAAGTATCGTGATTTTCAGATCAATTAGTATGGTAAAATTGTTGTAAAATCCTACTTTTTTTCTTACAGTGTGGGCTCGCCGGGGGCAGCTTCAAATGCATTTACTTTCAGGATTTGTTTAGTTTGAAATATTCAATAGTTTAATTTGAACTCGCGCATAGTTTGTTGGTGTGTTGGCAGCACTGCAATCGAGTGAGCAAAGAGCGTAAACGGCACCAGCGCCACTTCAAGACTTTCTTACTCTCTCACAAGTGATCAAGTTGTCGGATTGTCAAACCGAGTGATTTAGTTTTAGAGTTGCGGAACTCAGCCTACGAAGTTTTGCGAGTGTCCAGTGACAAGAAACGAAAGTGATATTTCGAATGGTTTATGTGTTTATTACTTGCGTAAGTTGGTGGGGGGAGGGAGGGGGGAGGGGGCGGGTTCGGCAGAAATGTGAAAAGGTAACCATTATTTCGGGCTCATCTTGACAGAAGGAAACGAAAACGCTTTATCCTCCAAGACGATCGGAATCGAAATGGCAGAGATATTCCCCACCAAATTGACACTTTTGGTCGTTTTGAGCACTTTTGTTAGTTAGGGGACCGATAACTCTGCTATTTCAACTCGGATCGGCTTTGAGGATAGGACATTTCCTTTTCCATTTTGAAAAAAAATCCTAATCTTGTATTACAGTTTTTGGCTGAGCGATAGCGAAGCCTATTACTCCAGTGATGATCAAAAAGTTTCGCGTCTGTCTGTCTGTCTGTCTGTCCGTCTGTCTGTTTGTCTGTGCGCACGATAACTCGAGAACGAATTGAGCTAGCGACCTGGGATTTGCAGGGTCGTTTTGTGTCATAAAAAGACAGATCAAGTTCGAAGAAGAGCATTCTAGCTCGAAAATTGGATTTTTAAAAATTCAAAAACCACAGGTCCCCAAAATGAGGTTTTTTAAAAATATTGTTGTTTTACTATTTCCTAAGGGGTAACCCATCAAAGTAGAGCCCTATGGGCGAAAATTTCGTCTATTTGGCTCTATCTTCAACCGTTTAGGCACCAGAGGGATTTTTCTACACGGAAATGACCGCAAAACATTTTTATGTTCTTTCTCATATATTTGATGGTCTCCGGTAGGGTAATAAAACCCCGAGGAACAAAATTTGTGACTTTTGGGGCTGAATGCCTACTTACGACTTTTCCTCGACTCGGGTATCAGCGCCGCAGGCCTAGGTAGATGTATGCCAGGCGCGTCGCAGCGTAACAGTGTTTCGTGAG